ATGAATACGAAAGCTAAAATGCTGCCTAATCCAGGCCTCGCAGCTTCACTGATATTGCTGTAGCGTTTGATATCCAGCAAGACTTTCTGGCACAACTCGGGATCAAACTAGCGATGCATCATGTCCCAGCTGGATGCTCCACATCGAACAATCATCTAGGATACTATACACGGCTCGAACTGCTCTATTTGGTCGAAAATATGAAGAAATTTCAGCAAATTACTATGTTGATATCGCTAAAACAGTAATTCAACAGAAATAATAATAAGCGCACTAAGGATAAGTGTATGACTGCAGATATGGACGAAATCCAAGTTAATCGCATACTGGCTGTTACAATGGTGGTTACCGTTGATAGTGATAGTGCCGATTGCATGCGATATTGATCGCAAAATTGAATATGTTCGCTGGTTGCATCAAGAAACGATTCGACTCGAAACCGATCGCAATACAACATCGGTATTTCTGCTCGCATCTTGCTGCAGTTTTTATTTTATCAAACTTCACGCTACCAAAGGCTGCGGAATGTGGCAAATCGAAATAGTTAACCTGAGATTTGAGTTTCATCATGAAAGTGTGCGACACAGTTTCGGAGAAACCATTCAAAAATCAGTGAATAAATTTTGAAAGAGGGATTTCTGTCCCATCAAAACCTTCCTTTGCTGATGGATCATAGTCAGATCTTGTTCCGTCAGAATATAATGGAAAAATATATTGGTGCTCGTGAATTATAAACAAGTTGTTGGTTTCGGTATGCACTATGCTAAAACTGCGAACCTCAAGTTATTATTTGGATGCCGTGATGTAGATGAATCATTTGAAAAGGTCAAAAGCGTCTTCTAGACATCAAGCAGATGTGTCCGAAGGCGGATAGATATCTGAGTGTGGAACAAGGAAACTCCGATCAACAACATTCACACAACCTAGGTCGTTTTCTGTCACAGTCTCATAAAAAAACATGTGATCAACTTGAGTCCACGGATGAAGAATAAGCTAACTGTTGTAGACTCTAGCATTCCACGATAAAACGAGATCACTCAACTGATTTTTACGCAGCTCAGTCTTATAGAATTTTTCAACCAAAATTCAGATGATAGCGATCGTTGATGGAGCGTCAAGTCTGTTCGCAACGCTTGTTTGTACCATATTATATGTGCTTACATTCGTCGAAATATCCGCACGACGGCTGAAAAGTGTCAGTTGGATTTACGGCTTGAATTCAGTGATGTTTCATGGCAGTTGAATGAATTCTTCTGAGTAAGGAGATGTCAACACCTCAGAATTGCCATGAACTCTTTTAGATGTTGACCCTGTTTGGTATTCTAGTACCACCTGAGAATATTTGCTACTTGCCTCACAATGCAATACCCTTCAGCATATTCAAATG